GGGGGGCGGGGGGGACAGCAGTCGAGGGGGGGGCACACAGCCAGCAGATATACACGATCGGCAGGCTATAGAGCCGCTGATCGTGTATATGTTAAACAGTCGGTAACGGCTCTATGCATTGCACGTGCAAGCAGAGAAAAAATACCGTCTGGAGACGGCAACCCGCCAATGCCGCTGTGCCGTCCGTCCGTTTTTTTTCCAACGGGCAGACGGTAACTGGTTAATGCTTTGTCTTTTCACGTAATAGACATTTTAATTTGCTGTAAAACTTTAACGATAGTCACTCTTATGGCACAAGATGATCTGAATTAATCCTAAAAGCAAGACCAGTTCTTCTGTTAATGGGCTATTTCTAGATATGCCTATGGAATGTCATCAACCTGCTGTTTTGGGAAATGTTATTGGAATAACTGAAATGTTATGCAGTGCAAAGGGATATGTCTGCTTGTGAGAAGTCTAGCAAGTCCTGTCATGGCTGCAGCAGTGTAGGGAGAAATCTCGCATTATCCCAGTCAACATAAAGGCGTAATGCTTTAATTGGTAGCTATTGAACCCCTTCGTGACTGACGACGTACAGTGTACGTCGCCAGCATCGGGGTTGTTTAAACAGACACTGTTTAAACTTGTAAAGGCGACTGTCGGCATTACAACAGAAGCGATTCTGGCGTCTTACCTGTCACCAGATCGGTTCTGTGTCCCATAGAAGGGGCCACCCCCCCCAATTAAATCTAATAATAAATGTAAAGTCCACCGCGAGCATGCGCGTCGCCACGTAAACACGTGTTGGGTGCGCCTATGTATGAAAACGACGAACGCGCTACGCATGTTGGGTATCGCCGCGCACGCCGGAGTGAGAGCAATAATTCTAGGGCCAGTATTTTGGGGTATCTCTAAATTGATGACCTGTGGGGGCTTTTAAAGCGTCTTCTATGGAATTTTTGGGGTACTGCAGTTTTTTGCCGTTTCACGGACGCACGCAATTTGTAACCTGGGCATGTTGGGTATCGTTTTACTCATTGTAACCTCATCTTTTATATTTCGTTAAAAAAAATTGGTATTTTGTTGTGTTTTGGGGCATTTAAATAAATTTTTCACTAAATGTTGGGGTTTAATAAGGAGTTGCGCTAATATTGCGCAACATAAAAATTTTCAACTACCACCATTTTATTCTATAGGGTCTTGGCATTCAGAAAATATATAATGTTGGGGGGTTTTAAGTCATTTTCAGCCCTAAAATGTGGAATATAACATGGGTGCGAAAAAAGGCCTCAGTCATGAAGGGGTTAAAGGGCCACTACACCCGGTGCAGGTCTAATTCTCTTGTCTTTTTTGGGGGCTTTGGTGGTGATCTCTCAGCTGCAGCACAGTCTCTGTAGGCCTCCTGTAATCTCTTTTTTCTGCAACTAGATAATTGCATATAATGTCCACATCAGGTGAGTAGAACAAGGAACTCTAAATGCAGACCTCTATCCACCAGTCACCAAGGGCCCCTTCACATTTTGTATTGTTTTAACACAATGCATTACCATGGGTTAAAGTTAATTTTTATTGGGCCGTTATCTGATTTTTTTTTTTTTCTTTCATTTGATAAGAGGTGCTATGATTGCTTCTGTACAGGGCATTTGGGTGCCATTCAAAATAAATGACTCCACAAATGCATTGCGATAATGTGCAGTAAAACTTTGTTTACAGCCCTTTCACATAATTTTTAATATCTGGATGGACCCCCATAGGCATTTACAGTGCTGGTGGGTGAATTCTCCTGCTGACATCTAGCCAAAACCATTTAAAAGAACTATAGGGTAAGCCTTCTATCCCATAGTTCTCTTTACGGTCATGGGAGGACATATACTAACGTCCTCCCGTGACCCAAAGATCAGTATATAGCGGGCTATTGCCCGCTATAAATGGAGAGTGCAGCTGCCGGGACAGATACTTACAATGCTGTTGAGATCCACCCAGCTGGCTGATAGGCGGGATGTGTTCTCTCATTTCCCGATCAATAGAGCTGACTTGTGACAGTCTCAATATCACATCGGCTCTATCTATGAGGTTGAGTGAAAATCACTCACCTCATAGTTCTCCTGCTTTAAGTTTCTTGTGATAAAACTTCTTTTTTTTTTCTTCACTGCAAATAAAGGTTTTAATTTTGATGGGGGGGGGGGGGGGGGGGCGTTATCATTTTTGTAATGACAG